GATATGTTTCCTTTCATTAATTTTTTCTCTACATATTTTTACATAGCTGCATTTTACGTACAATTTTGCGTCCTGCTTTTGAATAACTGTGTGCTTTTTATTTTCTAATAATAGATGTTCATTATTGAAAAAATTTTGAATGTGGATAAAACAAAAGAAAGGTTAAAACTTTAGTAACACCTTAAATTCTTTCAAACAAAGTGCACTCACTTACGAAAATGACTAATTATCCTATCTTCCAGTTATCTTTTTATCATAGGGAAAAACCCATGTACAAACAGTTCTACAGGGACAAAGAGAAAAGGGAAAGGATTTTCCTCCTTGCTGCATCCTCACGCTCAGCATTCTCCCCTAGGGGAACTACCGACAATACACGAGTGAACGTGCCCAGAGAAGAAATTACAGGCACGTATCCAAATTTAATATGGATATTTTTCTAGCACCTTATAAGACAAATGATAATGCCATATATTATTTTGTGTATTACTCTCTTGGTTAAATATATCTGGTGTATAGGTCCATATCTGCTGATCTTACTTTTTAATGGCTATACAGTATTCCATTTTGTGTGTTCCATACTATTACTGAACTGATTCTCTACTGATGGATACTTAATTTCTCTTTTTTACTATGACACTACTACACTGAACATTCATAAATGTTGATAGAACATATACTGTATAATATATACACACACATATGTACATGCATATACATACTTCAGCAGGAATATCCATAGGTAAATTCCTAGCAGTCGGGTTGCAAGTTAAAGGGATAATTCCATTGCTTGAAATTTAAAACTTGGAAATATATAGCCAAGTTCCACGTGGTCTTTCCCTGCGAGCTGGGTTGGGCTCTCTCACAGCCTGGCAGGTGCAGGGCAGTTGGACCCCTTACATGGTGGCGGACAGCTTCAGGAGCAAGAGTTCCAGCTCACAGAGTAGACATTGCATTCTCTTTCTTGGCCCAGCCTCCGAAATTACACAACATTGCTCTACCACAGAATTCTGCCCCGGTTCCAGAGGAGGGACACAGACCCCACCTCTTGATGGGTCGAGAGTCAAAGAACACTGTAGATTACCACGTGGGATGGGATATTGTTCTGGACACGTTTGAAGATACAATCTTCCCCACTCTGTAAAAGGTTTATGCGTTCATTGAGTGCATATGAGAATACTATTTGTCCATGCCCTTGGAAAACCTTATGGGGAAAATTGGCTGCCTTGTTATTAGTTTGATTCCCATTTCTTAGTAACACTGAGCAGATTTTCATCCTTTATTGGCCCTTGTACTTCTTGTCCGGCTATCTGGCTATTTTAATGTTTTCTATTGGATAGTTTTCTACTGGTTTTAGGGGCTGTTTCTCCATGAAGACAATTATCCCTTTCTTGTTGTGTGTGGACACTGTTTCTAATGTTGCTCTTTCACTTTGACTTTATTTTTTGCCATCCTGAAATTCATGAGGTGTTTATGCTCATATTTATCACTATTTTCTATTTTAGTTCCAGGGTTTTATATCTTGTTGAGAAAGGTCTTCCTTACTCCAATGTGATATTGAAAATACCCAAATTTTCTTGTCGATTTTCGTCATTTTACCTTATAATCTGCTTCCTGTAACGTGACATGGATTATATAACGTTGACCCATCCTCCGTTTCCTGAAGATGACGCCCCTCCATCCACACCCTGCTCTGTGGGAAAGTGGCTCCAGGTGCTGAGGTTTCTCCAGCTTGAAGCTTCTCTCTGGCGCCACATTTCCCCAAATCCTCTCATTTCTCATGACTAGAACTTCTCAGTGAAATTGCGTTTCTTTCTTTTATTTCTAAACATTTCTTTCATATGTTACTTCATTTCTGAATTCTTCTAATTCGGATTTATGTTGTTTCATGACATTTCTTAATGTTATCAAACTCCTTGGTAACACCTTGTTAAAATGTTGGTCTGTATTGTGCTGACTGTGTTCCTGGTGTATTCTCACGATCTGTGGAGATCTGATTCTGCTCCTTCCTCTCCTTCCTCTAACACTAACTTTGTGTGAGACTGAGTCCTCCTCCTATGCTGCTGTTCGATGTTATAAGAGCTTATTTTTCCTGACTTCTAGAAGTCGTTCAGTGGTTCTTCTACCTGACAGAGCTCCCTCTTCGGTTGCTTTGGTGACGTGTTCAGGAACATGGTGGCTTGCTCTGTGAGTTGTCCACCGCACTGGTCTGGCCTTCTTTCCTTGTCTCTGTTGATTCTATCCTGCTCAAATTTGATTCCACCTCTAGCAGTTTCCCCTCAGTGGAGGGCCCTTTCCCAAAGGGAGCTGTGCCTGGTTGGTTTGAAAATTACCTGTATCCTAGACCAGTTCACTGCTTTCAGAACTTGCCGAGGCCCCTCACGCTCACCAGCTATTGCGTTGGGCAAAATCACCCCCAGCTTCAGCTGCTGTTCTCAAGCTAGCCCGGATGGCTTTCCAGTAAATACCTCTCGGCTATTTGGGGTTCTCAGGTCCATTGCTTTCCTCTGCTTTCTCCACATCACGATACTACCAAGCAGATTTTTTGGCAATTGGTGGTTTGTCCTCATCTGCTTGTGTTTTGTGGTTCATGTCACCCACTTTGTACGTTAAGTGGGGTTTTGGTTTCTGTCTAGTCGCAGTGTCTATTTTTGTGTGGGGACTCAGGGAAACCCAAATCTACGCTGCTACCACTGCCACTTTGCCAGAATCTTGTCCTCATATTCTCGGATTGTTTCCTCCATCATTTCAACTCTCGATACTCTTCACTCATTTGAAAGAATGACACTGGTAGCTTTCCCACTCCCCTAATTTAGAAGGAAAGATAAGTTGCTTCCTCTCCGCCCCACGCAGCAGGCATTGTGTCGGTGCAGCTCAAGCACAAGCCGTTCTTCAGGAAAACTTCTGACACCACCAATAGATAGTCCTTCTGGGGAGAGCTGATGACACACAGCCAACGAAGAAGGAACAGGAATGGAGGGATATTGGGGAGATAGGTGGAGCATACTGTAAAGGTCAGAAGACAGGAGAGCTATTGATGACGGGAAACCTGGAGCTCAGGGTTGCTCTCGGTTTATAAATCCACATTTAGCCAGATTCTTTCAGCCTCTACTTCAATCTGGTGCAATAGAAGCAATGTCCTCAGCATTAAGCGTATACGGAAATCATCAGAACCAACAGAACTGATGCAGCCTGCTGTAAAATGATGGAGAGTTTCTTCAAGCGTTTGAACCTGATGTTGTCAGGAAATGAGAGGTTTCACATAAATGAGTGTATTCACCTCCACCACTAGCCTCCTGGTCTAACATGTTGATAAATCCCCTGTTTTGCTTGCATCCATCTGGCCTCCCTCCATGACTTATTGCGCTTAATGTAGAGAGAGTGTTTTTTTCCCAAAACCTAATCAAGTTACTCTACCCTGCCTAAAACGCTTTCATGGCCTCCACTGCTCTTAGGATAAAGAAAACCTTCTTAACACACCTCACAATCCCTGTGTTCTGTGGCTCCCACCTGCCCTCTGGCCTCATCTCGACCACTGTCAGACCACTCTCTGACTTCAAGGTCACAACGGCCTTCGGTCCTGCCCTCTACCCCCACCACACTTCCTCCCGCCACAGGGTCTTTGCACATGCAGTACCATCTGACCTTCCTTCTGATTTCAGCTCCAGTGTCACTCCCTGAGGGCCGTCTTCTCTAACCTCTCCCACTACATTATGTCCCCAGAGCATGGGAACCCACAGGACCACGAACCTCTCCTCTGGACCACATGTCAGTGCTGCATTTTACCTTTGTGTATTTCTTTGATTAATGCTCTTCTCTCCTACTTAACTGTACGATCCATGAAAGCGTGGATTACAATCTGCAGCAGGTCACATTACAGTTCCTTGCACACATGGGGATTCAGGAAATTCAGGGTGAAAGATAATGCAAGGGCTTCTGAAAACCAAAAATAATTACTTTAAATATCATAATTGTTGTAACTTACTTCTGTATTGAAATCTTTAAAAATGTCTGACTTGTCTCCCTGCCTACTTAAACAGGATGTACAATCCATAAGATTATTTATTTACTGATTTCTCTCTTATGAAAACCGTTTAGTACACTCTAACAACAAAATGGCCTCAGCATTATTGAAAGAGGACCATTTGTCTCAACAGTACATCCCTGATTGCTGGATTTCTTTTCCTCCCATTTTCCTTCTAAACCTCCTTCTAATATGTGGTATCAATTTGTATGGGAATGAAAATCAGACATTTAGATTTGTTAGAAATATGTACTAAATAAGAACACATTGGCCCTCAATAATGGTCACACTGGTCCCCTATAAAGGGGACCATGTGCTTTTGTGCATGGCCTGTGTAGCACTCATTTTGTCTGCTTAGAGATAAAGCTTCATTCCTAGTTTTCGGTTATATTGTAGATAGTTGAGATTGCCAGATAAAGCAACAAATGTGGCTGAGAAAGCTATGTGTGTCTTGCTGTACATGGTTGGGGCCCTACAAAAAAAATTTAGATATGCTTTGTTGAACATTATTCGATGTTAGATACAAAAAGGTAGGTTGTCTTTTTTAAAATCATAAAATGCATATATTTATTGTTTTGTGATAGTGTAATTGGGAATTAAATCTAATTCCTATGAAAAAGGAAACTCCCATACAAAGACCCCTCAAAAACATCTCATAATACTAAAACAAAAAAATAAAAATTACTTTGCCAAATGACAGAATTCTGTAATAGCAGAGCCCTAAGTGATTTAGCTTATTTTGTTCTTTTGGTATTTAACAATTCACTGAAACTTTACAAAACATTAGAAATCCTCAGAGGTTGTATGTTTTCCCCTAAGTTTGAGAGACTACAGAGTTTGTATGTTTTCCCCTAAGTTTGAGAGACTACAAATAATGTAAATGACATAGGAAAACAGAAAAGGAGAACTGAAAGTGGGAAATTCCTCTGAAATAGAAAGAGTAGAGGACCATCCCGTATAAATAGCCCACACTCACGGAGGAAGGACATTTAAGCTCAAGCCGTTGCCACCTCCACTTGGGCTCCTAGGGAGTAAAGGCAACGCTGTTCCTGTCTTCATCATGACCTACAGGTGGATCCTCCCAATGGCCCTCCTGCTGTGTTTCTCCACCACGGCTCTTTCTGTGAACTATGACTTGCTTTGGTCCCAACTAAGAAGCAGCAATTCAGCATGTCAGAAGCTCCTGTGGCAGTTGAATGGAGCCCCTCAACGTTGCCCCGAGGACACAATGAACTTCCAGTTCCCTGAAGAGATTGAGCAAGCACAGCAGTTCCAGAAGGAGGATGCCGCATTGGTCTTCTATGAGATGCTCCAGCACACCTTGCGTATTTTCAGAAGAAATTTCGCTAGCACTGGCTGGAATGAGACCATCGTTAAGAACCTGCTTGTGGAAGTCCATCTGCAGATGGACCATCTGGAGACAAACCTGAAGGGAATAATGGAGGAGGAAAGCTCCACCCGGGGAAACACGACCATTCTGCGCCTGAAGAAATACTACGGAAGCATCTCGCAGTACCTGAAGGCCAAGAAGTACAGCCACTGTGCCTGGACGGTGGTCCAAGCAGAAATGCTCAGGAACTTAGCCTTCCTTAACGGACTCATAGATTACCTCCAAGACTGAGGATGTCCCAGCCTGCATCTCTGAGAAGGGACAATGCTGACAGTGACTGCAGGCGTCTTCACCAGCAGAGGCTCTTGAAGTGACTGACAGCTAAGGCACTGCATGGGAAAGGACAGTTACAGACTTTAAATTTTTTACTAACTTATGAATTAAGTTATTTATTTATTTATTTAAACCTTTACCTTGGAAAATAAATTTTTTATGAAACAAATGTCAACATGGCCGTCTCAATTTCAACTTGATTTCTAGAATCACCCATATTACAAAGTGCAGAGTATTTACTAGCTGTTCCTTGTAAAATGTGCCTGCAAACTAGTATGGTTTCTGGCCCCTGCCTTCAAGGAATTTAAAATGCAAGGAAGCCATGTGGAATATACAAGATAAGAAGTGAGAAGGGGACCTCCACCATACAGGACAAGAAATGCCGCTTAAGCCCCATATAAACGGAATTAAAATGAGAGAGACAGGCAGGGGCTCTGCACCCAGAGGACGGGGCTGCTGCTTCTACCCTGTGCCCCACTCTCTGGCCCCACAGTTACAATCTGATGGCTCTCAGGGTACCCAGAGGAATACGTCAGCTCTTGCGTTTGCCCGAAGCTCATCCCTACTCTCTTCGGGATGCTCTGCCTCCCCCCTCCCCCTCAACCCCACAGGATTGTACAATATTTCCGTGCCTCGCAAGTCTAAATGGGAGAAGTCCCAGGCACTTCTGGGACACTTTAAGCGGCAGTCCCTTTATGGTACTCTTCATTGGACAACTAAGCTGTATGGGTGTCTCAGGGGAGCCGGCATCTCTGTCTCCTTCCAGGGCGCACACACAGAGGGAGAAAGAACTCTGCTTTGTACCCCTGCCATCTGCCTGGGTTTGCTCCCTATTTTTCCACAGAAGCAAGTCTGCTCCTGCGCCCCTCCGTCCTGTTCATCAGAATTCCAGGAAAATCCTACCCGCTTTTCCTGCTGCTCTGCGTCTCCGAGGCCACACTCTCCCCAAAGCCAAGGCCAAGGCAGGTGCAGCAGATTAGGTCCAGTCTCAGGCCAGTGAGAAACCAGGAAGCAGGGGAGACAAGGAAATTCAGGTGGGATAGAGAGGGCGCCAATGTTCCCAGGGCTTACACTGGGAAATTGGAGATTTCCTAGGAGCTCTTTGGGCACCGGCCAGCATGGCTGCCTTTCTGTCTGTACTGAACCCCTTGGGAACGTGCATTATTATGCCTGTTCCTGCCATGAGCAGCTGCCATCCAGGCACTGTGCCGAGCTCTGATGTATGTAACCGGATTTAGTCCTCTTCACATGCATCCCTCCGGTGGGACCACGACGTGATGGCCATTTTACAGGTCAGGAAACGAAGTCTCAAAGAGGTTTAGTAACTGCCTCAAGGTCACACAGCTAGTGAGTGAAGGTCAAAAAAGGTACAAAGGGAATAATCACATACAGACTTTGTTTGTCTCAAGGCATTTTCTCCTGGGGCAGCACAGAGCTCTGATTTCCCTTCAGGGATTCGGCCTTGAGAAGAAACCTCAGCCAAGGGTTCCCCAGAAGACAGATTGCTCAGAGCTCGGAGCTTCCTCTTCTGACTGACAGAGGTAACACACCCGCTGTAGACCCAAGAAGCGCCATCCTGGTGGGTCTACTGCCTTTGTTGTCCCAAGCCTGTCAAGGTCCTCATAAAACAATAAACCTCCTCACTCCCTCCATCCCCCACACGCTACAACTCCAAACCCCCAGCTCGGCCAAAATCCTTTCTGCAGCCATGATTCCTTTTGCCCTGGAGTCAAAAACAAGATGAGCGCGTAGAAATGCAGACTAATCGGCAGACTAATCAAGAGGATAGTCAGACTCTCTGTGCCCTGTCCAACTTACCACGCCCCCCCCCCCGCAACTTCTCTAAAATTCACGAGAAATGCATCTCAAATTAAAAACACATATATAAATGCATGGATAAACGATGTTCGTAGATTGGATTACTCAATGGTGTTAAAATGTTCCTTTTTCTCACATTGATTTACACAGTTTTGTGATCCAAAGGAAAATGCAGGAGATCTTGGTGTGGAGATTGACAAGCTGAGTCTCAATTTATATCCAAATGCCAGGGATTTAGAATAATCAAGGTAATTTTAAAGAAGAATAAAACAGAAAACATATTTCCAGATAAGCATTATTTTATACCCATAGTGTGATGAGTGCAGAAACAGACCCATCCAAATATTAGCAACTGATTCGCAATTACGGTGTCAGTTAATTGAACTGGAAGAAGGAATAGGCTTTTCAATAAACGGAGCTTGGACAATTGGTATGTACACGGAACCAAAGAGAACTTTGACTCCTACCTCAAATCTGACATAAAAAACTAATTTGAGGGGCCAGCCCTGTAGCACAGCGATTAAGTTCGCACATTTTGCTTCGGTGGACTGGGGTTCGCCCTTCCAGTCCCACATGCGGACCTGCGCGCTGCTTATCAAGCCACGCTGTGGCAGGCGTCCCATGTAAAATATAGAGGAAGATGGGCACGGCTGTTAGCTCAGGGCCAATCTTCCTTAGTGAAAAGAGGAGGATTGGTGGCAGATGTTAGCTCAGGGCTAATCTTCCACCACTCCCCAAAATAATTAATTTGAGATGAATCACAGACCTCAATGTAAAAGCTAAGACTATCAATTTTCTAGAATAAGATATATGAATATATCTTTTTGACCATCAGGTAAGCCAAGAATTCTTATACAGGACACACGAAAGCATCATCCATTGTAGAAAAGATTGACACATTGATCTACATTAAGATTAAGAGCGTCATTCATCAAAAGACACCATTAATCGAGTGAAAAGGCAAGCCACGGAGTGAAGGAGAAATCTAGAAAGCAAATTGTCAGAAGACTGACATACTGAATACATGAAACATTTCTAAAAATCGATTAAAAAGGCAGAATAGAAAAATAAAGACTTCAACAGAGTCTTCATAAAAGGGTTAATAAGCACATGCAAAATGTTTTCGACATCATTATTTCTTGAAGAAGGGCAAATGGAAAACAAGCATAAATTACAAAACAAGTGTTGACAAAGATGTGTTTTTAACCAGAAATTACAGAGTTTTCATTGGAGAGTAAGTTGGTTACAGACACACTGAATTAAAGGACACAAATATGAGTTATCTTATGTACGATGCCATTTATATGAAATTCCAAAACAGACAAAGCAAATATCTAGTAACAGAGGCCATAGATTCGTGGTTACCTTTGGCCTGGGGCTATGCAGTGGGAGAAGGCACAGCAAGATTTCTGAGATTCTGAAAATGTTCTATGTATTGATCTGGGTATCATCTATATCTAAAAATACAACAAGATATATACTCATTAGTGGATATATAGCTTACAAATCAAAACCAAGGTTAAAAAAAGTGCAAAACAACCTTCCTACCAGGGCTGCTCCTGCCCGAGCTCTTGAACCTCTGAGGTCATAGCTACTGGCTACCATTGATGGTTTTAACTCTGTTCATCGCCTTACATACAGTAGCTGACGTTTCTTTCTCAAGATATTGATTACCTGTAAGGTAAATATTATTTTCAATATTATTAGCACTATTACTATTACTAAATAGGTTCTATAATTTTCCCAAGAAGACACGGTCATTAAAAGTCTGGGTTAGAATACCAGACCGTCTGCGCCCAACCAACTCAACCCAGACATTTCTCCCTTGTCCCGTTGCTTCTCTTCAATACTGACATTTTCCTGCCTCCACGTAGGGTCCCTTCCAGGAAGCAGGAAAGACAGACATTAAAGCAATGACCGTGTTTAATTACAGCTCAGCAGAGACAGTGCAGCGAACTGAAGACTCAGTGCCAGTGAAGACGCGGCACTGGGAGGCGGGAGAAACCCTGCTTTCTGACGAAATCTGTGGCTGTGGTGAAATCAAATCATTGGTTTTGTCTTTTCTCATCTTAAAAACAAACCAATAATAGTAGTAACTATCACACAGGATATTATAAGAATTAAAGAAAATGAAGATTGAAAGTTACTGAGACTCTGAACACAGTAAAAGACACCTGCCTTCACATAATACTACAGATCATCATCGTCTGTATGGTCCACGGTCAACCAGGACTCGCCAAGAGGAGCTGTGATTGCGGCTCCCCTGACGCTCTCGGTGACGGGCACACTGGTGCCCCCTAATGGAAACTCTAGGACGGGGCGGGGTCTGCAGGCCTGTGCAGGAGCTGAGCGCAGGCACACGGGGGTTAGAACCGCGCCTCACGCAGTAGAGAGAGAAAGTTTAGAACACGGTGGAAGCTTTTTCTGGGCATCGGGCGTGTTCGCATGTTGTCTTACAGAAAATGGCCGCTCTGCTATTCACAGGATAGTATGAAGAAATGCTGCGTTAAGTATTTCATGCTCAAACACTTTTTTTTGAGAGGAAATTTAGCTTGATGTCGTCACAGTAGACGGACCCAGGAATCAGTCTAATGTGGACTTGATAAGAGCAGAGCAGCAACTCAAAAGGAGCTTTGCATTTGACTGTATTCCATTTTCCCACTCCGTAAAAGAAAACAAGGATGCTCCCCCAACTGCAGGGGAAGTATTACTGGAAAAGAGTAAAAATATCCTACTGCATCATAGAATAGAAAGAAACAGCATTGTTGTTAACTATGTAATATAGATTATTGTGCTCAGTCCCATATTATTTGTCTCTTTTTCAAAAGCCTTGTATGTATATATCTTAAGAATACACAATAGTATAGCCAAAAAATTTTGTGTATCCAATAAATAGTTTAAAAGAGTTAAAATTAATTGTTGTAACGGATGATAGAAAAAATATTATAACATTTTTCACACCGATTGTGTTTAATTAGTGTATTAATTTCTACTAATTGTCACTTAATTAGTCCTACTGTTCTCCTGATACGGTAGCATTTAGGTAGCAAGAAAGTAAATAATACAAGGTAACATATGATTTCAAGGAAACATCTATTATTCGGGTTTGTATGTTAAAGTAGGAACACAGGTGTAGAATTATTGATTATAACTTAACTCTCTCACTAGTTTTTGGTCTGGTTTGGCTGTGTCGCACACTGGTTCT